GAGAAAGAACTCAGTGACCTTTAGCTATGACACACACTATGTCACTAGAGCGTTGTCGTTATTGCTGGGCGTGTTTGCTTGTTGGGCTTTTGTGTGTGGGAGGGACACAAAAGAGTAGCCACAAGGACCCAGTTGAGTTAGTTCAGGCTGATGTGGACGCCTCCTGGACGACGTCCTTTGGAGGTTTTTCAGACACATCCAGGAGACCTTGGGGTAGACCAGGACTCGCTGGAGGGATTACATCTTGGGATAAGCCAGAAAACCTTGCTAGGGAGACGGATATCTGGGATGCTCTACTTAACCTGCTGCCACGAGACCTGACCCATGAGAAAATCTTAGAAAATGGAAGGATGGATGGATAGAACCAGATGGCGGTCTTTCCTTTCAGAACCTCCTTATACTACCACAGAGACTTCTCCATCCTCTCAAGCTGGAACCAAAAGCTCAAATTGAAGAGCCTCTGGACCACCACGGTCCTCCACCACACTGATGTCTGGTTTATTCTGGAGGTAAAAAGTCCTCCATCCCCAGAGACCTTTCTCCTTCATGGACGCACTGAGATTCTCCGTTTGTATCACATCACTGAGCAACACCTGAACATAGAGGTCTACCATGAAAGAAGCAGTTGTACTTACGAGATCTTCCTGCCATCTTGCGTGAGTTTTTCTTCTTGCAGTCTAAGTACAGTAACAAGCAGTCCTGGGCACTCAGCAGCACACTGACAGGTGAACCAAACCCGACGGTATTTAAAGGCACCTGTCACGCCCACTTACAAATCATTTTGCTGTGGAATGCGTCTTTAAGCCTGGATGAATTGTTTTGTGCACGTTTAAAGGTTGTGACTATTTTGGCAGGGCTCTTAGTAATGTCAATGACTAAACAAAAAAATACATCACTACGCTGTTGCTACACTGAATTTGCATGAAGTGAGTTGACTGTGTGTGTTTTTAATGTGTCCATGACTGCATTTAGACTATACTGTGTGCCACTTATAACACATAAGATGAGCCTTTATTGATCGCTTTACAGAGAAATTTCCAGTTACATCCCGTCCAAGAAACATAAAGACAGTGATCAATAACAGGGGGAGACAGGAGCCCCTTATCATTAGAGGAAAAAGGAAAACCAAACATGTTGTGATGCTGTGGTGTGTGAACAACTGAACCGCAAATTTTTATAAATGTATTTGAAAATCAGACACAATGAAATGTGTGGTTTCCATCCTGTCTGATGTGGAAACGGTTCATCCTGAACTAAAGCTCCCAGTGGGTGAAATGTTAAATTCTGCTAAATCTGTTCCCATTTAAACACATTTTGGGGCAGTTTTCGCCCAGATAGATAAGAAATGTAGGAAAGAAAGCAGAGGAATGAGGTGAGGCAACCAGGAATCAAACCTGCAGCTCTTTGCTTGAAGGCGTTTGCTGCCACTTGGTTTGGGCCACATTTACATCATTGCACTCCGAGTAACATTTGATGTTTTTAACCTGTTTATAACGTCTAGATTGAGTTAAATTCAGTGTCTGCTACAAACATCTACACCGTCAAACAGCGTTGAGTCCTGCCTGATGGGGTCCAGCAAAAGATGAGGAAATAAGATTACTGGTAGCATTTAGGCCGACTTGTTTGTCGAACCTCTGCTAACACGCCCAGCAGCCCTCCCTGAGGACAATTGACTTTCTCATCGTCACACCAGATTCCACAGAAAATGTCACAAAAGTCGCCCTTTCAGCTTTTGGCAACGAGCCACGCTGCAGGTGAATCAGTGCTGCTGGGTCATCAAGGAAACTTTCATTGGAAACACAGAGAGAGAGAGATGCTGTCGTTAGTTCACACCCATCAATGTTTCACAACTCTATCCGGAAGTTTGCGTTTCTGCTGCTTCTTTTTTTGGATGTCTGTGATTGAAAAGTCACTTTGCTGCTGTGTTAGTTCAACGTTATCGAGTTTACAGCGAGTGCATTTGTGTGGACACTGATATCACTGATATTCATTTTCTCAGTACTACAAAAGATAAATTATGAATTTAAAAGCCTCATACACATCACACTGTTCACTGTTTTTACCGTACATGACCTACTGTGCAGAAGTGTGGGGGTAACAGATATAATACTGCATTAAATCCAGTGGTAATATTACAAAAAAAAAGCAATTAGACTAATGTGGGATATAATGAGCACACTTATTACACCAGTCATTTGAAATGTATTGATTTAGGTACATTTAGAACTGCGCAAATACTGTTTGTACTCCCTGAGAACATGCAACAGGTGTTCAGAGGTAGAATCGCAAATTACGAATTAAGAAGACATTTTTTTAAAGTTAAAAAGCCATTTGCTGGCACCGCTGTGAGAAGTCAATGTTTATCAGTTTGTGGGGTAAACTTATGGATGGATGAGGATTTAAACACTCGATGACTACGAAACAATTAAAAAAGAATACAGAAAAAGATTGCTTGAAAAATATTAGAATGAATTCTGTGTTCTTTCGAAAGAGGTAAAAAAGTAGAACGTTTGATGTAAACAGGAAATATTTGAGACGTACAGACATGTAGTAGGTAGGAGTTAATGAGTTAAACTTCATCCTACTCGTTTTCAAACATTATTCTAGGTTTTGGATTTGGTTTGGTTGTTTTATTTCTTTTTTTTTGTTATACTATATATATGTATAGACAATATAGTATATACAGTATATATAGATGACTCTGGCCTCTCAGAGGGATCAGTGCATGTCCACGGCTGCACGTGAACGCCCGTTCCATGATCTTGTGTGCAGGCGTTTCCTCGGCTCACATCATGTCAGCAGTTAGTCACTAACTCCTTAAGATACCGTGTGTTCGTAAATGTCTTGACATGTCAGACTCTGTAATCCAGTAACGGCACGGTTACCATTTTTTTCTTGATACTGGTCGAATCCAGCAACAAGGAAGTTAAATAAAACTGGTTGATCCTGAAACTCGCCATTTGTCAAATGTCAGAGTGGCCAGCATGACGACAACGTGGAAAATCAAATTGTGTAAGTGTGTAATTAAAAAAGAAAAAAAAAATAGTTTAATGACTTCTTCTCATGTTAATTGTGTGAAGTACGGAGTGTACAAATACTTTGGTGGTTAATACGTCTGGGGCAGCAGGAAGTCTTCTTCATTTATTTCTCGTCAGGCGTTAGTCACGTCATTTTTGATGTGCTGTGTCCAAGTTCACCTCTTTGATGGCTGTGAAGCTTCCTTGCATTAAACAGGGGACAATATATTAGTTTGTTATATGGAATTAGGGACAATGAAGGTCCGACAAGGCGAAAATCCATTTTTATAGTTTGTTATAACCTTCTAGTTATACCACAAAAGCTCTTAAGATATGAACACATTTACCTCTACTATACCTCAAGTTCCCACACACAACTGTTTAGTTTCTTGTGCTGCCTCTGTTAACTCTGAAACGTCTCAACCAGCAAAGCCCACCGAATGATCTGCTGTTTGCTGTAAGAGTGAACACCAGAGTCTTCATGCACTCCCAGCGTCTGAGGAACTGAACGCCCAGTGAATTAGTCGTGACTTGATAATCTGACACTAAATGTAAAATCTTCTTTTATGTCGGATAGCAAGGCTGTCGGATTGTCAAGGCGGAGGTCGAAGGGTAATTTGTTGTTAATGTTTACTGTTTATAGTTGTTATAATAACTAGTGTGTTGTTAGAACACTAAGCATCGCTGGATTTCACGCCTAATTGACTGGTGCGCTTGTGCACGGGCCTGTTGGTTGGCTTCAAAGGTAAGGAAATCTGTCGGATTGTTCAGTCAGATAATACACCGTTGTCCTTATTTGTGACATAATTTAATAATAACATTTGTGACATGGAATATATGTTATATTGATTTTTAAAAAGAAGAGAGAAAGTGAGCTTTTACAAGATTGAATTTCCCTTCTGGGATAAATAAAGTATTTTTCATTTCATTTTCATTCATTTAATTTCATAAAATGTTATGTCGGAGTCTGAATCCAAAGCTGTCGGTATGTTAAGGCTATTTTTTATGGGTTCCACTCGTTTTTCCTAAAAACCTGTCGGATAGCAAGGTTTTCGGGTTGTTAAGGGTCGGATTATTGAGTCACGACTGTACTTTTACTTTTCTATTTGCTAATGAGGCTAATGGGACCATTAGCTTTGGTCACACGCCCACAGGTCAGAGCTGCGGAAATTGTAAAGCTGGAGACGTTCAGGTGGCGGAGATTTGAAACCAGTAACCGAGCACTGGGAGGGTTTTGGTGTTTTCATGTCACATGTTGTNTGGATGGTTTGTGAGGAAAAAGGAAAATTCATATTTCTTACTTGCAATCAATGTCCCTTCTAAACAGGCCGGCTCCAGAGAAAGTCATCTTGCAGTTTGTCAGGGTTTTATTGATGGGGTTTGTGAAAATCACGTCCCCACTTGCCAGTGCATTCAGTCTGACCTGAGCAGGAGCCTGGAACACACACAATCAAACAGTTTATTCAAATGCACTCAGTCAACGCAAACATTTAGAAAACGTCTGCATGTGCAATTTTGCTTACAGCCTGCAGAAAAACAAGAAACTCTGCAGCATAAGTCTGAAATCTAACATGATTGTCTCACATTCTACCAACATGATGACCCACAGAGTTGACATTTCATAAACTAATAACTTTGGTGAGTCTCTGACTTTTTATTTAGTGCCGGCATCGGGTCAATGTATAGGAATACTCGTTGTTCTCAACTGTACTCTGCGTTTAGTGCTAATTAACTGATTTTGCATGACAACACACTAAAATAAGACGGTGATGCAGGTAAAGCCATGCATGCCTTTTTAGCGCTTTTTATAGCATCCAGGTTTTAGCATTTAGCTCAAAATGCAGCTTCACAGACTATATAATTTGAGTTTAAACTCAAACATTTTCTTTGAACACAGCTGGGTGACAGATAATATTAGATTAGTTGGAGGTTTTCTACTGACAGTGATGGAGATCGGAGGGTCCATCAGCACAATGTCATGCGTAGCCAGGTATCTGTTTTCTCCATCGCCTTTGTCTGTGATCACAGCTGTAACCTTCATGCTCTCATTCTCCACCATGAGTCTGTGGTAGGCCGAGAACGGGATCACGATGGGGATGGACAGAACTGGAGGAGAGAGGGGAAGATTCTTAGTTTCTCACATAACCCTCATTGTATAGTTTAGGCCACACACTAAGATGTTTGCTTCTAAAAGTCAACATAACTGTGCAGAGAGAAAAAAAAAAGCATCCTTAGAAGAGGGAGTCACCTTTCCCAGGCAGCAGCGTCTCCTCTTTGTCCTCAGTCAGGATTTTCCCTGCTGGTACCCCGTAGTACTTCATGGCCTGGACGGAGATGTGGATGGACAGCGGCCGGGTATCGCTGCTTTGACTCTGCAGCACCAGCTTCAGGTTCACATCCTTACCGTTGATCAGCCTGGACACCTGCAGCAAGAGACAAGTTTGCAGAAAAGCATGTTTTACACAATCAACACCTAAAACCACAATTGTGCAAGTGGGTCATCCGATGTGTGTGGTGCTCCAGATGAACCTTTAAATTAAATAAACAGTCCTGGGCCCAGCTGTATGTTCATTCATCTACCAGGAATAATGTGGATGGATAGTCATACAGTGGATACCGTACATGTCTGTGAGTGAGGACCACATTTTACATTGCAGCTTCTTCAGCCTATTTTATGATTCTTTGCGTTCGGCGTTCTACGGCCCCCTGGGCCACTGGGAGGCCTGAAAGTTGTGCTTAAAGTGATGTTTAGCATAGGAAGGCACAAACCACATAACATGAACAAAAAAAAGAAAAGATCATTCACAACATCCTGTTAAATAACTCTGAAAGGAAAGAGAAAATCTGGGACGTACCTCTTTAAACCGGATAGTCACTGGTGGTAGAGGTTCTGAAGTAGCTCCCTCGTCCGTCCCTCCGCTTCCAGGTTCTTCTGTCGTTACTTCACCTGCATCTTCCTCCTCTATCTCTTCATACATTTCTTCAGGTCTGGAGTAGTCTCTGGTGGTGGCAAATACGAAGTTCCGCCTCTCCTTGTCAGTTCCTGTAAGACAAGTCCCGATGATTTAGATGAATGTTATTATCACCAGTGTGTATCAGTGTGACTTCATGGTACCGAATCACAAGAGTCCTGTTGTCTGCTGTGATTCCAGGTGAAAAAATGGTAAACCTAGTAGGACACCACAAATCTTTAAACTGAACTGACGAAGTGATTTGTAATTTGTGTGTGAGCCACCTTCAGGGTGCTTGTAGGTGTTGGTGATGTCCTCCCTCTGCCTGGATCCAACACGCTTGGTGGAGATGAACTTCCCAACTCTTTTGGTGTCAGAGCTGATTCGAACCTTCTTCCCATCATCTGTGACCTGACAGGACGCACGAACACACACAACAGTAATGGCCCCTGTATGTATTAGGTTGGAGACTGATGAAGATATATGCTCTACTCCCACTTACCGTCCAGTCAATGCAGTCGGCATTGACCTCAGCAAAGACAAATGGGACGTCGTATTTGAAATCAGTATGCCCCTCTAAGACGGCTTTGACTGAGGCTGGGCCGCAACGGAACACACCTGCAGGAGGAGAATCAATGAAGGCCATCATACAGACAAACCACAAACAAGCGATGTTTGTGTTCATCCCCACAGAAAAGCTTTCATTCTAATGCAACTTAAAGGCACTGCAGTGCTGATGAGAATTTACAAAAATGACTCTTTTCTGTCCAAGTGAAAACAGATTTCTACTAAATAATGCCAATTAGTTAAAAATATAGAAGTGTATTTAGGAGATGAGCCTATGGCCATCATCACAGCATTGAGCCTTTGTGGGTGGGTCAAAGCCAACCCTGCACATCTGGACACTGCAATTCTACTTCATTCTTGTCTTGCGGGAAAACTAATCTTCTCCCAAGTCACAGTTCTGTTGCAGACTGCATCAGGTTGTCCTCCAGGATTCCCTAATGCTTTATGTTCATTTTAACCTCTACCTTT